TTTGGGCAATTTTGGAGAACCGCGTTCCCATTCAGCTCAAAGCTTGAGGTGTTCAATGTCAAACGTTTCAGTGAAGACCCAATAACGGCTAGAAATCTGGACAAACCATCGGAGACTGACGGCTCTGATATGTCGAATCCAATCCTTAGTTCTGTCACGCTACAAGGTCTCTCGAGTGTTGTAACTTCGTCGAAGGTTAAATCTGCACGACGTACGTAGCAGTGACCGTAGCCGGGAACCAAAACATTCACCCACTCACTCTTCCCGTCATCACTGAAGGTTCTTACAGGGTATAGAGAAGACTGGCACGTTACAGCCCTTGAATTTCTTCGTGCATGTCCTCGATTGGTTAACTCCCAGTAGAATGAAGTACCTGCCTTCGCTGTCGCATCCCTTGCTTCTATTAACCCGGGAATGCAGCCGAATAGCTCTTCTTCCGGGTGATCGGACGCCAAGACGGTTGAAAAGGCCTCGATATCAACTACACTCATGCTGCGAGTCGAGATGAATGCAAGCGATTCAACTGCAGAGAACGCATTCGCTCTCTTCGAGAACAGCGAGTATGCAAGCCACTTCCACCAGTGCACACTCGTTCCGTCGTGGGGATCCACTTCCAACTGCAACGACAACTTCCTCGTCGTCTGACTGACAGCAATTGCCGAGCACATGGATTCAAAGTCACGAGCTCCCATCAGTGACGTACATTCCAAGTGAATTGTGCCCAGTTGAAGTGGATCTGGATCAGAGTTGAGCTGAACAGCGCCACAATCACCGTCTACCCTCTCAGTGTCAGGTAAGCGACGGGTACTGTCGAAAATCGACGCCATTATCTGACTGATTACTACTCTCTTCTCGTGTTCTTTGTCCTCTAGTTCACGACCCACGAACGCCCATAGATTCATTTGCGAGAATCTCACATTGTCCCGTATCATTGTGTCCATCACTTTGACCATTTCAGCTGAAATATCCATGTCATGGAAATCTGCGATCAAGGGACCCAGTACAAAAGTGCATCGTAGACTTCCATTCTCCATCACTTTCGTCTTCTGACTCTGTTCATATACTTTCCACTCTTTTTTAATGATCTTCTTAGCTTCCCTGATGTCCTGGAGCGGTTCCAAAATTTCTTTCAGTGCATCATAAGATATAAAGTCCATCACCCGGAAACCCACTTGGACAGGGATTTTCAAGTCAAGTCCTGGCTTTCCGGTCTTTAGGTTGCTGTCCATGGCTGCTATTCTCTTGAGAGCCTTAAGATAAGCTCGACTGGGGTGCTCACGCTGATAAACACCGCAGAATTTAACAATATCATTTTGAAGAGTCTTGGCATATTCTTTGTAGCCATTGTGATCGTTATCTTCGATCAAATACAGCATGAACCGAGCTGGGATCTCTTCATCGAACACTTCTTCTCCTTCAGTGCCCAGGACAACACCGCAGTGGATTTTCAATAGATACCTCCATCCGTCTTGGTCCACGTGAGCCACAGCAGCTAAAAGCGCCAAAGCTTCACGAACTTTATGGAAACAAGTTTGAAAGTCCTCGTCTGTTGAAAACAGTGCCTTCGACTTGGCCCATAAACTCTGAGAGATCTCGTGGCGAGTGGGCAACTTGACTTCTAGACGTCGCTTTGGCACATCCCACACCTCTTCCTCCCGCCCAGCCCACACGTATCGGACCCTTGCTTCTAGTACCTCGCACCAGGACGACAGGAAGCCCCACCGCTGCTCCAATACCGCAGACAACTTCGTCTTCATCAGAGTTGGCAGACGTGGGTTTTGGGTTTTTGGAATAATGCAATTTTTGGGTTACCCACCCAAGCAGGCGGTTACCCACCGAAGCAAAAAGTTGAGAGTGGCATTAAAATGCCTCAAATTAAGGAAGAGGACGGACACATGCTAACTATCGCGTACATTCACTAATGGTAGACTTATAAGTATTGGAAGGTTTTTAACATCGAAACCTCT